TGTCTTTTCTCCTCAAGAGTGATCCTGTGTGCATTCTCAAAAGAAGCAGCAGTGTTGCAAATAGTGTGTCTCCAGACCTCCCGATTGGAGGCCAGAGTAGACCAGTTATGATGATCAATATGGCCAAGGCTGAGATGTTGTTTCAGGGAGTCCTTGTATCTCCTCTTTGGGGCTCCTCTCATGCGGCAGCTGGTGGCAAGTTCACCATAAAGCAAGACCTTAGGGAGGCGGTGGTCCTTCATCCTGGAGACATGTCCTGCCCAACACAGCTGTGTTCTCAGCAACATGGCCTCAATGCTTGTAACTGCTGCCTGTTCAAGAACAGACATTAATCTGACCAGTGGATGTTTAGGATTGTATGGAGGCAGCATTGATGGAAGCATTCTAAGAGTCGCAGGTGGTGGCGGTAGATGACCCATGATTCAGTCCCATATAAAAGAGTAGACAGCACAATGGCTCTGTAAACACTGATCTTTGTACTTTTCTTCAGTTGTTTATTACACCAAACTCTTTTATGGAGTTTTCCAAAAGCTCTATATACCTTTGCTAACCTATTGTCTATCTCTCCGTCAGTCTTACCATCCTAGGTAATTAAATTGCTGGACTGATTTGAGCTCTGATTGGCCAATGGTGATATGGGGATGATGGAAGACTTCCTGAGGTGCTGGTTGATAGAAAACTGACTTCCAGCCGAAAATGCTCAGCAGTGTCTGCAAAGCAGGATGTTAAATGCTGCAGAGCTGCTTCTGTGTGGGCGATGAGGGCAGCATCGTCAGTGTAAAGCAGCTCCTGGACAAGATGATTTAAGGTCTTAGTGTGGGCCTTCAGTCACCTTAGGTTGAAAAGGCTTCCATCAGTATGGTATCGAATGTAGATACCGTCCTGATCCTCGAGGTCTGCCGTGGCCCTTTGGAGCATCATGCTGAAAAAGACTGTGAATAGAGTTGGTGTGAGAACGCAGCCTTGTTTCACACCACTGGTTATTACAAAGGGCTCAGAAAGTGCATTGCCATATCTGACCTGGCTGCGCTGATCCGCATGGAGTGAGATGATCATTTTAAGGAACTTGGGGGGGACATCCTAAATGTTCCAAAATCTACCATAGACCTTTTCTGCTCACAGTATCGAAAGCCTTGGTGAGGTCAGCAAAGGTTACGTAGAGACCTTTGTTCTGTTCCCTACATTTCTCTTGCAGTTGTCTGAGAACAAATACAATGTCTGTGGTACTCCCGTTGGTTCTGAAACCACATTGGCTTTCAGGTAGAAGTTCTTCTCTATAGCAGGTATTAGTCTGTTCAAAAGTATTCTTGCCAGGATTTTACCAGCAATGGAGAGCAGAGTAATACCTCTGTAATTTGAACAGTCTGATTTATCTCCTTTCTTCTTATACAAGGTGATGATGATTGCATCACGAAGGTTTGATGGTAGTTCACCTAGTTCCCAAGAAGATTATTTATTCATGTAGTAATTCTTTCTTCTGTACAGCCTTTTTTTTTTCCTGAATGAAGATTAGATAAAATGAATGTATCTTTAAGCCAGTAAGACAGACTCTGCAGGTTCTTTGTTTCAGGAGGAGTTGTAAAATAATTCTTAAGGGCAAATTACTCCATTAGGTTGGCACAGTAGTGTCTTTTACATCCAAACCTTGGGGCTGTATATGTAATATCAACATGCACCTGTCCATCTGGATTAAGTGGGTCAAAGCTTGCAAAAAGGTCATAAAAGGCTTCTTTCCTTTTTAGCAGGAGGATGGTGAGACTGTATAGGGGCAGCTGACTGATGTTGGTGAAAACCAAACTACAGGATAAGTATTAGTTTTCAGCTTGATAACAATGTGCTCTTACTACAGAGATACGTAGTTGCTAGTGCTAATAAAAACATGGGGGTAAGAATGCTATGCTCTGAGAAGCTGGGAAGGGAGAGATTATCTCCTTCATTATCAGCAAGATTAGACAAAGCTGATAACAAATCTGCATCTAAGTTACGTTTTTGTCTAAGTTATGTTCTGTCTGAACTGCAGAATTTCTCCGCACCCCATACTTGCCTTCCCCACAACAGCTTTCTTTGCAGCAAAGGCAATAATCAATTTGGAATATGGTTTTACTCCTGTTGTCATCAAATACTCCTGTAAGTCATGCTATGACTAAGAAATCTGGCCCCGTTACTGATTTTTTACAGGATTCTTTTATTTGTTTCCATTCCTTATTAGTATATTTCTGCTTGAGATAAAAAAACACTTGGAATGGTTTTCCTGGAGTCCTTGCTGCTGAATTTCCTCTTCTGATGGGGAGCCAATAGGTGTGGACACAGGAATTGAGTTCCAGCTGATGGGGCAGTATCACCCATAGGATGCTGGATAGCCAGTAATGAATGCAGAACTTTCAGATTGAAAGCGATAGAGTTGGTTGTGAGAAGGCATGAGGATTGCACTATCATCTCACAAAAATATTTGTGTTTAAAAGGGTGTGGCCCTGTGAAGCCTTGCAGCTACTGCTTGTCAGTGGGTAATCAACTTGAAATGGCCAAGTCCACTGAATACTTTCTGTACCACTGCATTATGAGGCTAAACCTTGATATCTATAAGCCTCATGCCTATTTTAGTCATGTCCTTATTTCTTGTAGAGGGGAAGTGGAGTGTGCATGTTATCATCCCACTGCAAGATCTGGATTGCTGTGGTAAAAGTGTAGTGCCAGCGTTCTCTGTGCTACATGTACCTTCTATGCACAGGATATGAAAGGAGCAGATTCCTGTTATCTGTGGCCTTTATGCCTTTCTGTCTAAGCAGGTTCTCTCTCTACCCTACTAGGTTTCCTAATGTTTGTGTATTTTATTCCTGTAAGTCCTGATACTACCTCACTTACCATTACTTTTAGGAAAGCAAAACTCTCTCTTTTGTAACCTGCTATGTCCTTTCACTTTCCCTCCCGCTCTTGTAATTTTGACTGGTCACCCACCATTTAAAATGGCAGTCCAGGACCCAAGAGCAGCACTGGTGGGAGATGGAGGGATTTCCTGCTGAAGCTGCTGTTTCTCCAGAGTAGCAGTTCTGCAAGTTCTTCAGATTCTTGTCAGTTTGGCATCAAGAGTTGCTGACAGGGACAACATCTGCACCTGTGAAGGAAAGGAAAACAAGCCTTGTCTGGTTTAGAGCACGCAAAGATACAATGCACTGTTCAGTTGCTTATGGTCATCCTCCCCCTTTTTTCCAGGACATACTTTTGTGCATGGTGATGGAAGTAAATGGGATAAACCCATTTTTTGCCCTAATTTATGTGGCAGATAGAGTGGGTCAAACTCTGAATGACACACACGTTCTCATCAAATTAGCACTGCTATTCACTTTCAGTGGCTGAGTGTTGACAGCTTATGTGACTCTGTTTTACAGACAGACAGAGAGAGAAGGAGGGAGCGTTTGTACAACTGACCATGTCACGTGCTCTTGTTCTAGGTATTGAAATTTGCATCCCGGCCTTGAGTGTTTTAGGTGTCTTTTCTGACTGAAAGAATCTCTGTAGAGTGAGCTTTGTCCTAAAGCTGTAAATGAGTCTCCAAAATTAGAGACTAAAATTTGGGTTCTAAGCTGTGTGATGTATCTGAGCCAATAGTATATGGAGTTTTTTGTTTTTTATCATTTTATATGCCTGACCCTGTTCCTATGGGAAGTTGTTACTGACCAGCAGTTTGCATTGCTAACACTGTCGCACTCTACATTCTGCAGAGTGCCTAGACAGGGAGCATCTGAGCCCCCTTAGGTAGAAGTTTAAAGACTGCAATGTGGGCTGAGCAGCTGAGAGTATGAGAGAGAGTCTGTTTCCTGCCCAAATTTATTTGAAGGTTCATTGTTAGAATTTTGATTCTTATAAAATCTGGCTTTTTGAACTCAGGCACCATTCCCCTGGTTATAGAGTTTGCTGCAAGGAGAAAGACTAGGCAGTTCTCCTCTAGGAAGCTGGGATCCTGCCATGGTGCATTTTTGTGTCTGCAACTGACCACATGGCAGGAACAGGGGCAAATTGGTCTTGGTAGAGTTTTGTTCTTTCTAAGAAGCAATTTTTTTGGTTGGACCATTGAAGCAGTTCTGTCAGTTACTATGATGCACATAGTAGCTCAGCTCATGTTTGTCTTCTACTGACACAGCAACAGAGATTTCCACTCTGTTTTCTGTTATTTCCTATGGCCAGGCCTGTATATAAACTGACTATTTTTATGTAACTTTCATACTTTATTTCTCTTTGCAAGACCGAAAGTCAGATTTTCTACTGTATTCTAGTCCCTCCAGGCTTCCTGTTTTCTCTGACTACCTTTGAATTTTATTTTCTTTCTTGGTCAGCAGACCTTAGCAGACTGACCTAAGTGCATGTTCTGTGTATTGCATACAATAATACAAAGGCCTCTGTATTTGTTACATTAAACGAGTTCTCTATTAGCAAGACTATTTTGCAGCATTGCAACTTGCTGGCTTTTTTCACACACATACAGACTCATTCCTGCATCAAACTAATAGGTGCATGGTGCTGGAAGTATTCACCAAGCCATGACATATACATGTTCTAGAACCACTGTAATAACCTGAATGTCCACCTTAAAGCAGGCAGCTTTTCTGGAGCTGTTCCAGAGTCTGATGGGTACAATGGTTAAAAATCTTATTTCTAGCCATGACTAGAACATGAACAATAACCATTTTTTGGAATGTCCTCGCTTCCCTCAGCCTCATCTTCCAGTGTATTTGTAAAAGGTTATGTATTCTCTTTCATAAGTTTTCTTTTCTAGCCACACCTTGCATCAGATCTGGTTTGAACTCACCTTTCTTGAAGAAACTTAACAACACTTTAGGCAGAATTCCAAGTGAGATCTCTTCAGTACTCTAGTGTCACTCATGTTTCCAAATATCTCCATGAGATCCTATTAATGCATCTCTAAATTGAGTCTTCTCTTCTGCAAAATCCACTGTTCCCTCCATAATTCATCTGCATGGCTTCTATTGCTTGTGTGTAATCCTCTGAGGTCATACTTAAGAGTAATAATAAGTTGGGATTCATTTGACTGTCTCTGTCTCAAGACTTTCATAGAGATGAGGGTTACTCCTGCTTTCCTTTGGATGGCATGAGATCTGCTTAATTTCATGTCTCTTCATATAAGCAGCTAATGGTCATTTTTAAGAGAAAGATCTAAGTGCATCCTTACTTTTATCCTTTGAAGTTGATTGACTAGAAAATGAAGTATAGTTGCAGTAAAGGTGCTAAAGCTGTGCAGATTTGTTAAAATAATAAATAATGAAAGACAATAAATAATCACTGAGGAGAAAACAAATTACATTGCTCACAGTACATATAATCCAATGTATTTCACAACTGTCAGTAATAGATGTCAACTTTTATTAAGCAACATACACAACATGGTTCTTTAAATGCTAGGTGTGCAACTGAGAAACACATGCTTCTTTGTTATTTTACTTCAGGGATCTATATGTGCTCAAAATGAGTCTCATTAAATCACTATTGGTGAATTGCAACTCCCCAAGCAATGTTTCTGTTCTTAAACAAGAATTACCTTGGTGAGTTTTCAACATTAATAACTACTGGATAAAAATCTACTCTTGCACTATATCTTTATGATTTCTGAAACAGTTATACTTTCCTGACTTACCATTACATCCATTTGTATTTCTGTTGTAGTCCAAAAGAGACTGAAAATTACCATAAAACAACAGCTAAGAAAGCTTTAAATGAGGAACTTCTGAGGAGCATTCAAGAGTCTGAGAGGGAGATTAATCAGTGGAGCCATAGTCTGCCATCTGTGACACGTGGAAGCCAAGTCGGCATGGCCACTAAGAGGTAGGTTCTGGATCTGCTTTGTACCAGAAGGAAGGAGGGGTGGAACAATATTACAGGACAGAGTGGTAAAAGAAACCCCTCCTTACCCTTCAAGTTGCCCTCTAAGATACCCTGACAGAACAGGTACAAGGCCCTTGTACAAAGTCTTGCCAAGGTCAGAGAGATCAACCTCTTGCAACAAAACTTGCATTAAGACGTGCGTCAGGAAGAAACAGTGGTGAGTTATGGGCACTGGTGACTCCCTCTGTATGAAATGGAAGCACTCATTTGCAGACCAGACCCTCTTTTCAGAGAAGTTTGCTGCTTCCCTGGGGCCCAAATTAGGGATGTCACCACAAAACTGAACAGCCTAATACAACCTTCATACTATTATTTATTCCTGCTCTTTCACACGCATACAAATGGTGTCACGATAAAAAGAGCCCTGGAAAGAATGCTAAAAAATTCCAGAGCACAGGCGATGTTTTCCTCAGTCCTCCCAGTAATGGAAGGAGACTTTGGAAGAAACAGGTGAGCCCAGAATATCAATACCTGACTCCAGGACTACGGCCTTCACCATAACTTTGGACATCACCCCTGCAGAAAGCAATCTGGGGGTGCTGGCTGCCAGCAGGCTCACTGTGAGTCAGCAGTGTGCCCAGGCAGCCAGGAAAGCAAACTGCATCCTGGGGTTTGTGCATCAAACACATCACCAAAGGCAACAAAGCTGGTGAAAGTGCTGGAAGGAATGTCCTCTGAGGAGTGGCTGAGGACTTTGGGCTTGTCTGCTTTGCAGAAAAGGAGGCTAAGAGGCCTCATTGCTTTCTACAGCTTCCTGAGGAGGGGAAGCAGAGAGGGAGGTGCTGAGCTCTGGTCTCTGGTATCCAGTGACAGGACGTTTGGGAATGGTTCAAAGCTGTGCCAGGGGAGGTTTAGATTGTACAGGCTTCCTAGAAGGATGGTTGATGCCCCCAGCCTGTCAGTGTTTAAGAGGGTTTGGGACAATCCCTAATAACATGCTTTAACTTGGTCAGCCCTGAATTGGTCAGGCAGTTGGATGAGGTGACCATTTTAAGTCCCTTCCAACTGAAACATTCTAGTCTACTCTGTGTACTAGTGCTGAGTTGACAAATCAGTTCTGTGAAGCCCTTTTTTACCTTCAACCTTGGAAAGGCCAAGCATAATTTTGGATAAAAGTGGCATCTCCTGGAACTACTTAATTTGTAAAAATTTTCATTTTTTATATGAAACCCAATAAATTTTCTAGTCCTTTGACACAAAGAATTAGAAGGCAAACAAAACCAAGTAACACATACAATTCTTCATTTCATTATTTTTAAGGAAATAGCCTGCTATTTGATTAATGCTGTACTTTCAAAATCTTATTCTTAACCTCTTTTATTTTCAGCCTTAGTTAGGAAATAATTGTTTCCAGTAGTATTTTATTACTTTTAGGAATATTATTAGTGAGCCTGATGTTTATAACAGCTGGCTTTTGTAACATTAACATCGAGTGTCAGATTATTTTGTTGGCACAATTTGAGGTAGGAGTAAATAAAGTGTCTTAGGTGCTTTATTACAAATTGTAACTTATAATCAAATGCCTCTGCTACTAGATATATCATATGGAGAAGCAGTATTGAGCACAGCAGCACAGGTCAGGACTAGCCAATATAAGATGCTTTAAATCGTGCACCTTCAAAGCATAGGTGTCCCTCATTGTACTCCATAGTTCAGTTGGTTAGAGCACGGTGCTAATAACACCAAGGTTGTGGGTTTGATCCCCATATGGGCCATTCACTTAAAGAGTTGGACTTGATCCATCTGGTTCCTTTGCAATGCAGAATATACTATAAAACCTGTGAGTTACAACGTAAAAGTACTGTGAGTTTGTACTTTTGCCTTTTAGAAGTGGCAGCTGCAGAGCATGGGACCAGACCTCGATGCAGAGCCTGCAGCCACAAGGGTTGATTTAAGGTTCTCCAGGAAAGCAGAAATCAGAAATGAGTAGAAGACTGCAGCCCTTGTTTGGGAAAGGAGCAGTGCTTAATGACTGGCTGGTCAAAAGGTGGGCTTTTCTCTTAACACCGTAGATTTTTCAGTTTCCTAGATATGATGAAGAGAAATGTGTAAGAATTAAGAACAGTGTGAAAACCACTAAGTAGTCCAGCCTACATGTCCAAGTTAAGCATCAGAACCCATTTTGGCACTCAGGTTCCTTAGTTTTTATCACCGTTTGTGAATATTTTTATTTTATTGTCACTGATACTCTTGGTAGAGTAACATTAAAAAGAAAAAGGTGGGAAGGAAGCCAATCTTCCTGGTATTACAAATGCAGTTACAAAATACACTGATGCTTTTAGGTTACTGATAGCATCTGGTCACCAGGAGCATAACGTGGTAGCTCACATGAAATCAGGATACGTAACCACAGCGTGTAGTTCATGAAATGCTGTCTTTCAGCTTGCAGAAATTGCAACTGGCCTAATAACCAAATGCAATGTTTTAATCAAATCAGGTGGTGGTCTCCTACATGAGCATTTTCAGAACCCTATAAAACTCTGCAGCCGAGGTGTGAGTGCTGTACTTCTGGATACAGTTCTTAAAAAAGGCAGGCTTTTCTGTCAGCGAGGCTGTGGGCCTCCATGTATTGAAAGTGCTACAACTTCTGTCATGGGCATGCCGACCTGTGTGTTTTAAATCACTGGGATTAATGAGGTGTGTCTTCCTTATTTTTCTGCCAAATTCCGTGTGTCACATCTAACACGTGATGTTTCTGCCTTCTGGGATGCTGTGTGCCTCAATCCTGCCCTTTTTTGGGTGTGAGCTCCTCCCCTGGAGTCTAGAAAAGACTTAAAAGCAGATGGTTGTGCAGCTTCTTGCTGTGCACGGCAGAGAAGGGGATCCACCCTCGGGCTGTCATTTCCTGGCACTGGTGGTCTTCCCAACTGTTCAGGTATTTGTATCTAAAATAAGCTGGATGGTGATGGGGTAAATCTGTATGAGTATAAAGTGGGAAAGTTTCTCAGTGACAGGGGATGTATCTTTTAATAATCTAAGGACTTTGACTAACTGTGCTTCTTTATCATGCTTGAAATTTTTATATTGCCTTTGGAATAGTTTGAGAAGAGATTCTTCTTTTGCTATTTGACTGTCAAGTTAAAACATTGGCTTCAGAAATGTTTGAGGTTTTGTGCCTTTTTGTGGAAGAAGTGACTATGTAAATGGAACTAACTGTACTGAAGCTCAATGAATCCTTCAGAGGAATTATGTCTTCTGCAGCACTGGTTCCACTATCCTTCAGCTACTTTTAAGCTCACATTGTCTGTCCCGTGATTTTTGATACACTTTTTTTTCTTTTGCTTGCTCTTATTGTTTCTTTGAAGTGATTCTTTAACAAATGTTGACAAACTTTTCAGTTTAAACACTTGGAAATCAAGCAACTGCCACAGCAACATTTGCATCAGTTTTCTTCTGCCTTGCTTATGTTATGTAGTTTTAAGGTCTGAATTGCTGCTTATTCTGACCTGGTTGCATTTCTGAAACTTTTTGTAGAGAGAAAAAAGACCGTGTAGGCACATGTGTATTTTATGGTGAATCAGCCTTTGCACATACTAAGCTGCCTTCAAGGCAAGAGATAACACCCTTAGTGATTTGCAGCATTTTAGAAATGGAATTTTGCTGCTTGGTATCCCCTAATTACTATTTTTTTCAATCTTTTTAACAAGAACATGGGAGTTTATCCTAATGGTTACATTTTATAAAAATTATTTATCAGTATATTTCTAATGAATTTATCTCCACCAGGTATTTCTGTCGCACATGCTGTTCCCAGGTTCTTTCAACAGAACATGAAAATTGGGAAAGAAGTATAGAAATGGTTGAGAATTGCTTTTTTCTTCAGACAATAAAGACAGTATCTGATGTTAGAGACAATGAACTTGGCATCTTCAATGCTATTCTTCCTTCTCGGGAAGAAGGAAGGAGTACTTATAAATCTTGCTTTAGCTGTTACTTTTATGAGTCACTAAGTGAAAATACTAAAGCTGCTGTGATAAAGCTGAATGTGGCTCTGGTCACTCCACCATCTTAAAAGAAAATAACAAAACTAGTAGTCCAGAGATGGCAGTGATGATGGTCATTAGTGCCATTGAGGAATACCTAAGCAAGCCAGGTCTTTTCATTCAGGAAGAAGAGCTGAGGGAGGGCAGAGGCGGTATGACAGAAAACCTTAAAACTGCTCAGTGGCAAACCCTGAGGGATGCACTATTCACTGTCTTTACTATTCTACCCTGTGTCCATCAAATGAATTTGTAGAAGTCAGATTAAAAACAAAAAAGGACATCACTCTTTATGCATCAGACAGTAGAGCTGTGCAACTCATTGCAAGAGGATCTTGTAGATGCCACCTGTTCACAGGAATTTAAGGGGAAACTGGAAAAATACATGAAAGAGTAATTTATAGAATCATAGAATTAATTGGGTGGAAAAGACCTCTGAGATCATCAAGTCCAACCCTTGATCCAACACCAGAACACAGGAAACATTCATAGATGTTTCCTGTATATAAAGAAACTACATCCTGCTGTTCCCTAGACATCTATTTTACCACTGTGGTAGAGAGAATATTGAACTAGGTGGTCTTTATATTTTCTAGGTCTTTAGATAGACCTTATATTTTTGTGTATATTCTAAAAGCCTATTTTTTTAAATGGTCATCCTGAAATATCTTATCAATCTATTTTGCTGCTTGTAATGTTGTGGTTAGTGACTGAGAAAAAATTAACCAAGGGTATTGCTCAATACTATTCCACCATTGTTTGTAAAAGCAGAACTGGTTTACGCTGGAATATGCAGGAAGATTACCTCATATCTAACAAATTGTTGTAACACAAGCAGTTCCGATGACAGAAAATATTGCAGGCTGTTGTTTCAATTTAGATTTAATTCAATCTAATTTTCCTATACCTGAAGAGTCCTGTTCTAGAATGAAATGTTATTTCCTTGTTTGTTTTAGTTTTTAGGAATGGAGAAGCTGATTGTTTGTGTGCACAAAAGGCAAAATGCTCTCTGTAGGCTGATTTGCTTTCCATGGGCTGGAGGTGGAACTTCTCTACTTGCTCAGTGGGGCAAACGGTTAAGCAACTCAATTGAAGGTTTGTCATTTTTGTAGTTAAAGCACAAGTCTGAAATACACAGTAGCCCAATTTTCTGAATGGAATATAATATTCTTGAGATAACTGGAATCTTTATCCAATGGGTCTTCTCCGGAAAGGATGGAACTAGCATTCATTAGGAACTAGCATTTCCATCAGGGTGCATTTTCTGTACCACCTTGCATCAAATTATATTTGACTAGGTTTAAAGGTTATATCCTCAGAGCTAAGTTCCACAAGACTATAGTATGGTTGACTGCTTCAGAAACTATTGGTATGATTCACAAACATAATACACTGTGTATTGCTAATATACCAGGGTAACGGTGAAGATATGAGAACCATTTTTAATGTTGAGAGGCTGCACAGAGTATCTGTTATCCATTGTTTGCACTTCTTGTATCAAAACTGAAGTTCAAACTATGAATTTATAACAGTGAAATGACATTATGTTAAAGTACAAAGTATTTCTCATTGCTCTCAAGCTGTATCAGCACTAAAAAAGATCCATTGCTTGAACTATTTGAAGAGGAACCAAGGCCATTTTACAGACCTTCCACAAAGAAAAAATAATTTTATATTTACGAGCACTGCCATTGCAGTTGTACCAGTCCTCTAAATGCTCATATGCTTTCTGGTAAGCAGTTGCCCAAGTCACATTAAATTTTTAAATTTTCCTTGAAACGGAAAAAAAAAAGAGAAAGAAATAAAAGAGGTTTTTTCCACTGGAACTACTTCCAACAAAGTTACTAAGAAAATAGCCTAGGAGCAACTGCAGACACAGATTAATAAAATCAGGGTGTAGCATGGTTTCTCAGAGATGGTTTCTGCAGAAAGAAAGTACAGAAGATGCAGACATTACTGCTAGTATCGTATTAGGTAGTGGTTTATTCCGTCTATTCTAAAATACTTTGTGTCTGACCCATTACTTCCACATGAGTTCAGCAGTATGCATTACATCAAGGAGAGTTCAGAAAATCGACATTTTTTCTGATCTATTCATTTCTTACTTTCACTAAACAGCGAGAGGAAAATCCCCAATTTTGAAAGGAATATAATAAAAGTATGTAAAATGTCCTTCCAGATAAATATAAGTAAATATAAATATCCATCAATTTGTACTATGATTACACATTTTACTATGTGTAATGCTCAAGAGCCAACAAAGAAGAAAACAGGGATTGTACAATGCTAATATAGTTTAACTTTATAGTGCTGCCCTGGGAAGGATGTATTTCACACACCCCTTAACTTACTATTATTGAAATGAGTGAATTTGTGGTTGTTATTAACCTAATAGTAATAAAGTTGCTTTCAAACCTCAGCTGTAATCAAGACCTTGTGGATTCTGAGCCAAGGCACTTAACAATCAGATCAACTGGAGAATAAATCAGATCAATTTGTGAGTAAAGGAAGGAATGGAAACCTAATCTCTCATATGATTAAAACAGAGTAGTAGCAATAACAAATACATGGTTATCAACTGTAAGAAGGATTAATTTAAATAATCTGTATATTCTGCATAATAATTAAAAAACTGAATTAAAATTATTTTACTCTATCTATTTGAAATAACTATAATCCTTTTCTCTCACTTCCTCCACCTCTTCTGCAGTGTTCTGTGTAAGGTATCCTGGAAGAGAAACTCGTCTTAATGAGCCTTTTGCAAAAGACATGACAAGCATGGTTAATGAAGTTACAAGTGTTTTGTTAAAAGAACTTCAAGAAAAACCATTTGCATTTTTTGGTCACAGGTAAAAATATATACATTTTTAGATACCTCGGTGAAGGAGCTTCTATCTCTGAACTTGTTGAGTAGACAGTTACTTGTTTTTATATGCAAAAATTTTAGGAAAATACGCTTGTGCAAGATCTTTTGTCAAGTCATCCGAAAACATGCTGTTGCTCTAAAAGACTCTGGTTATTTATTTATTGCTTCAGGCACAACATCTGAATATACTGTGTTTCTGATAAATTATAATTTATTATGGCATTTATTTTTAATATTTGTGTCAGTTCTTGATCTGTATGAATGCAGGGGTTGAACCATTTGTGAAACACAGATTTTGAAGATTGCTTAGTCCAAAGTATTCAAAATAACTGTTCTTATTGCAAATTAAGGAGACTACTAAAAGAAAGATTAAGAAAAGGTTTGATTTGTAAAACTAGACTGTGTAGGAATACACTTCATGTCAATTAATGAATATCATTATAATTTATATGTCATATAGGGCTTCAGTAACTGTTCAAGATATCCAGTTAGCACTGAAATTCGAAGTATGTTTAAATTTTCCAAGTTTTATGTATGTTTTTGCTTACTTTGCTTTATTTTCTCTTTTCACTACAGTTTTGGAGCTTACCTGAGTTTTGCAGTGGCACTACATTTGAAAGAAAAGTATGGACTAGAGCCGGTCCATCTTTTCGTGTCAGGGGCACATGCCCCAAATGTAAGTTGCAGAATCATTAACAATATGAAACAAAACAGTACATTAGCTATCAAGAGTAAAAATAACTTTTGACAGTATGGCATGAGAATTACTTTTAATACAAAATGAGCATTGCTTCAGAATCTATGGAGAAAAGTTTTTTCTTAGAGGAAATTAAATATGAGGTGGATGCAGAACTTTGCACTACATGATTTTCACTGCTGCTAGCTGACCTTAGCCTCAGGAGAACAATCTCCTTGAGCTAATGCTACCTTTTTTGAATACTGTGTTATTTACTATGGCCTTTGGCTTAAAATTAAAAAAGTAATCAAACCAAAATACTAAGTGGCTCTCTCTTCTCTGTAACATGTGAAATAACTGTCTTAACCTAGTCTTTCATAAACCGCCTGCATCAGCCTTCAGTACATTTGTCCATTTATTTCTTTCCCTCATTCTTTGTTGGATTTTTAATCAGTTTCTTCTCAGGTTCTGCTGATTCTGCTAGTCTTTCTCAGGAAAACAGCAGTGAAGTGGCTTTTTCCCAGTCCTCCTGTCCTCAGTCAGCATTTGCTATTTCCGTTCTCTTTCTGGGGCTTCTTAGCAATCCTTCGTATGAGCTAGTGATTCATGGAAGCAATTGTTATTCCTGCAAATTTCCATAATCAGTTGGTCTCTTCAGTCCTACATTAGTCAGGTTTATGTCCACTGCTAGGCTTTTCTTTCTCTTAAACAGATTATTTTATTAGGTGCATTTCAATAGTAAGAGTCAAACTTGAACAAAATTGAATTAATGGTTATTTGTCTGTGGAAGTTTCAGACCTGGAAGATACTTGGCTCAGTCATAATTTACTAACCCTTTTCAAGAAGTGTTCTCTTTGGATGTTAAATTAATCAGCCATTGTATTTTGGAGATGAAGAATTATTGTACTTCTTACTAAAATGATTTTTAATGAAAAGATAATTTAAAGTATAATATATACAACACCTCATTTGTTTTATCTGGTACTGACAGTCTGAAGCAATTCTTCCAATCAAAAACATTTCTGTATCTGATGCAAAAGATGAAGAAGTTATTGAATATCTACAAACTGTAGGAGGAACTCCTTCTGTGCTTCTGCATAACGAAGACATTAGGAAAAATCTGCTGCTTACTTTTAAAGAAGACTTTAGAGTGTTTCAGACATTTTCGTAAGTTTTACAATTTTGTATTACATTTGTATTTTACATTTTTACTTCTGTCTGATCATGTCAGGTTTTTTCTTTTTTCATATTTTGTTCTCATTTCTGTTATAAAAAGACTATGAAACAGTAAACAGTTCTCTCCTTTGTGTGTTTTTCTATTTGTTTTCTAGTATTTAAGCCCTAGATGAAAACACTGCTTACTGTATCAATCACTGCAGCAGCAAACTGTTACTGCAGTAGTGAACGTGTCATGGTAGAATTACAGTTATACTGAGAATCCACAGTTAACAGCCACTAAAAGGGAATATTCTCTCATCTTTTATTGTTTTCTGAGGCTACTAATCTCAGCTGATCATGCTTCAGGATCACTGCATTCAGCCTCCTGATCCAAGATCCCCTAATCTAACCAGAAGCAAAGAGTCCCTGTGTTCTGGGCACCTTGAGAGCAACCAGCTTCTTCTGTCCTAACTGCTGTCCCCACTGGATGTTACATGACAGCCAACGTGGCTGAGTTGTTAAGGTTTCTCACCTTGGCAAAGACAACGATACTCTTGGATGTGGGACCATTTTGGTCTTAGGAACCTGACACTGAAAGGCCCTGAAACATTAGAACTTGAATATAAGCAGGTAACATGATTGTTTATGGTAGGTGAGAATTTTTATTGCAGGCTGAAGCTCTTTTTCTCCCCTAACTATCAGGTCATTCTTTCTTTACAATTTTAGACCTAATTGCAGTAGGGCAAGGAGCTAAGAACCTTCCAGATGTGGTAATTTCTTCTGATGTTCTGCATAATCTAATTCCTGAAGTTTGTTAGATTTTGGACGAGAATGAAAAAGTTATTTTGTATGTGGAAGAAAATTCCAAATATGGGTATCTTATTGAATGTTTTAGGACTACTTTTTATGTTCACAGTTTTGAGAAGGCAGAAATGGATATCCCCTTCTCTTGTGATATTACCTGCTTTAATGGGGGTGATGATAAACCATATGATTTACAAGGTACTTTTCTTAAATGGTTTTCCTCTTATACTTACACATTTTCCTGCTGAATTGCATCTTCTAGAGTCTTTTATCTCCTTCTTAAATGAAACAAACCAACAGAGCAGTCTCAATGTTGATATAAGATTTAAAATAATTGTTAAATAATAATTTTGAAATAGTTATGTAAAATTGTCACAATCGTTGACATTTTTCTGACATATCTTTTTCAGGTTGGCAAGAACTAACAAGTGGAGATACATCCTTTTATGAGCTTCCTGGAGGTCACTTTTATCTGCTAGAGCCCTCTAATGAAATTTTCTTGACAAAACACATAACAAGATGCATAGAAAATGCCGGTCTATGACTATTTCCCTCAATTTTAATAGCAGAAGGTGTAATATTAGTCCACAGCACTTCATAAGTCATTATTTCTGCATGCAGTTATGCCTGAGTTGTTCTGTTCGTCCTCTGTAATCCTTTAAAAGGGGGAGTTTCCTGGGTTTTTCTGAAAATAAACATTGGCTTTGTCTTAAAAAAACAGGTTTCATCTTTTCCCTCTTCTCATCTTGCATGTGCACAAACTCTTCACTTCATTCCATAACCTCATTTGAAAAAAATGACAGCTATGTTATTTTACTTCTAGAGCTTCTGTTTGCCTGCTTCTGTAAAAATGCTAAATATAATTTAATACCCACAAAAATCCACAATTCTTACAGAAAGCTTAATTTATTAGGTTCAAATTTATTTAGAATAAGATACAATCTAAAAATAGAGTATGTATATAAATACCCTTTACAGTCAACTTATGCTTAAAAGATATTAGTCAGACTACACAGTAAGGAGTTAGTATTGCAGTGTTCTCAACAGAGTTAGTTCATTAGCTACTGAAGAGTTAATTATTAGTGGGAATTACTTTGAATATTCTAGATCCCATATTTTTCTACCATTGCTTTTGCTTTAGAGATATAGGCATTCATGGCATCCTCCTTTGATAAACCTGTAAAGGAAAGTAGGAATCATTATCTTTCCTCATTTGTCCTCTAAACATGACTACATGATGTAAATTTAATTGGTTTAACACCTTTTTTCAGGTTCCATGCCTCCCATTTGGCTTTGCCTTTCAAATCTAGCATTCCTGGACATTCTGCCAAAATAAATGCATACGTTTGATTATCATGCCGATTTACATAACATCAGCTTGATTTCATCAAGGTATGGGAGTAAATGTGAAGCATATGTAGGAATACCAATATTAATATCTCCAACGGTAGCCTGTTTGTAGAATCCATATAGTTCCTTCAGTTCTTCATCAGTTGGTCTTGTTTTTAATTTTTTTACATCTTCTGCAGCACCATCAAAGTCAGCCTGATGAAAGAACAGAAAGTGTTGGTTTTCCTCTCAAGGGGCGTGCTTAAAACATGAGGCACAGGGCACACAGTAGTATCATTACATATTCTCAATCACTCGCTTGGGTTTAGTGGTAAGTCGAGGTGTTTATCCATGAAAGCAGCTTAATGAAACTGTACGTCATGAGAAGAGGAACTAGGATTACATAGCTGATAGGGTCTGTACTTCTAAGATAAATAGTTTTACATCTAAACACTTGGAACCATTACAGACTGTCCAGTGCCAGAATAGCTACAGATATATTCATGCAGGCAGCCTCCACAATTTATGTAGGGCGTGTCTTTCACAGTCACACTGTGGGTATGAAGGTGTTCATTGAACTTTACACCCCAGCAGTAATCTCTGCTTCCACAGTGTTGATTCAAGTGGTGGAGCTTGAAAACCCTCTTAGGGGCACTGCCCACTTCACCCTTCATTTCCACAGCTCTGCTGACAGCAGAGTAGGTGATCAACAGCTGGCACAGAGACACCTCACAGGGATGAGCAGTGCTACTGCCAGGACCACCTTCCACACCCAGCTCTCAAACACAGTAGAGCACAAGAGTGCACTGTAAATGTACTCCTTTCATCATCATGCATCACACATTCACATCAACCTGAGGCCATATAGTAAGTCTTGGGCTAGACTTTGGCCCATGCTCAGGACATTTCAGGGAGACAGATTTCATACAGTGACCACTGACCCATCAGGTCACTGCACTACTCCAACACAAAAAGGTATAGGTACTTTCATATGCTATATGCTGGTTTCAATAATTAGTTTAGCTTTTAAGTTGGATCTGCATTTGCAGAAGCAAATATCCTGCAAGATGTGCTATCACACACACACACACACATATACATATAAAATGTAAAAAAAAATCTTAAAACTTGGGTCTTAAAATCAGCAGCATATTCAACATTGGTTTCAGCATGTATGCTGTGGCTCTGTTTAAACAACTGAGATCCTAGTATTACCTCAGAAGTCTGTACTGTGCTTCTTTACACCACCTTTTCCCTTAGTTATAGGAAAGACCATTTTTTTTTTTAATAAGGAAACCTAATGCACGTTTGTCTCCTTAACTGATGCCTTTCTCCTTGGCAACCGACTGTGCTGGGTGGATCAGGTGATAGAAATAAGCAAGTATGAATGAGAGCTGGACTCACTATAGCATTCTTTATTTAAACAGAGAAAAAGTACAAGAGAAAGGCTATTTCTGGTTTTAAAGCTAAGAAGAAAAAATTGGAAATAATTTAATTAGAGAGTGATGCTCATGGATCTTTCTTCACAGAAAGGCCCCTTCATGGAATCATGAAACTACGTATTCATTTATGTAAGGAGACATCAGCTGATGGCTGCATTAAGGCAGGAGTAGCAGGTGAAACAGGGTAAGGGCAGGTAGCTGAGTGCACTGCAGCTTCCTGCACAGAAAACTGGCCACTCTCCCACCAAATGAGTCACTCTGTCTCCTGAGATGGAATTCACTTTTTTTTTTTTTTAATTTTGGTATGGAAATTTAGTTTGGCTAGTGAGGTTCCCCAGACACAAACTTCTGAGGAATTTTTTTGCAAAATTTTGAACTGCCATTTGAAACCCACCAAGGGAAAGCACAAGTCTCCTAAGAATAAAAGTGCATGCCTCAGGAGAATGTACATCTGTAACACCAGAGTTATGACAAGGAGCAGCAGGCAGAGAGGTACATTTAAAAGGGATGTTTTTAAAAAATCATGATGTACGATAAAAAGGGTGTTCTAGCAAAGGAATGCTCCCTGCAAAACAGCAATTAAAAATAAATCTTGAATCTTCTTTAAACTGCAGCTATGAATTCACAGAACATTACACAGGAAGGGTTCATGATGATAATACATATCTCTAGCTGTCAGTTTGTAGCACCCTTAAAAATGCGGTGGAAGGAAAGGACAAAAATCCTGCAGCAATGAGGATGCTTTTTAACAAATAATCTTCCAACTCAGTGAGAACCAGTGTTTGCATAACTGACAAGCAGGAGTCTCTGGGAGATTCTCACCAAGGCCTCCCAGAACCAAATGCCCAGTAGTGGAGGCAGGAATACAGAGGACAGCTGGTGTGTTAGAACTAATAAAGACTGTTTTAAGAAATGCTGCTGTCCTATTTTGAATGTAACAATCCTTCTGAGAATTAGCAAGATTCCAAGTGCAATTTGTCTGTTGAAAACTCTGAAACTTGGTCATTCTATACAGTATACTATTTGGCAGAGCTTCTGGAATAAATTCTACACCAAATTACTTCCAAATTATATTCTTAAATCTAAAACTTTGTAGACTGAAAACATGTAACTAGTTATGCAGTTTGTTCCTGTTTTAATAAAAATAATTCTCAGTATTACTACTATATCACAGAATCACTGAAAAACATGAAGCTTTAAGTCCAACTTTTTGTGGCTGATTTCTTTTCAGAAGTAAACACTGGATTTTTTTTTTTTTAACCAACCGAGTATTTGGGAGCACTGCAAGACAAATACCAAAAGGCTCAGGATACGTTTATATGTTTTGTACATATGTTATATATAATTTAGATAAACAAAAATCTTGTGCCCTAGACTACATATAAAAGCTGAATCAATAATGTTGAAATGACCTTACAGCATTCGCTTCTCAGCTTTTTTTTGTAATATTAATATTTGCTTTCATGAAAGCCTTGCAATCTTTATTTTTCGTCTTATGCTGTATTGTCTCTTGTTCTCCTTCTGCAGAGTAACTGTACCTGGAATTCCTACAACTACCTGAAATACTTCAGTTCAGATGTTAAGATCATTTTTAATTTTTCACCAAAAATTGACAAGGGCCATAGAAAGTAAGTAAGTTACACTTTCCTTCCTTTCAAAAGCAAAATCAGAAGTGTGAACCCACATGTTTGAGGCCAGCAAGTCACAACAACAGAGGGAGAGAATTTGGGGTTTGGGGCAAAAGTGCCCTGCCCTGTGCCTTAGGCACAGTGTGGGTGCCTTCAGCCTGGGAGCAGGGATGGGACATCTCTATAAGCAGAATAGGAGTCTGAACTCCATACCTGTGAGATTGCTCGTATGACTCTTTATTTCACTATGTTCCGTGACAAACAGGTGGCTTATCCCTCCATGGAAATAAGCCTGTTCCACTTTGTGTTTATCTCAGGGCAGAAGCAAGGACATAGGCACATACTGCAGAGGAACTCACATGCTCTGAATTTACATCCCAGCCTACCCCTGAGTCACTCCAGTCATGCCAGGCTGCTGCACAGTGTTTCAGACACTGCAGCATTAGGATATGAAGGAGTTCTGTACTCAGGTAGCAAGACTGTAGTCTAATGACAGAAAAATATGCACTAACAACAGTATGACAATAAATGTGATGACTCACCACACTTCAGATTTTTTTAATTGGTAAAATTTTATTAAAATGAATATTTAATCTTAAGCCAAATACCAGTAATGTGACATTCTTGACTGTACCTATCACTGACTCCTCATCGCAGACATCTCTTAATATTATCCATACACATGCAAACAAAAGCAGCATTCATGGTCTTTAACTGTAAGATTAAGAAGTGGTATCAGTAATAAAACATAACTGGGTTGCCACATGTTATTTAAAGTTTAAATAAGTTACTACTGCATGGGAGCCTCTGGCAGCATTGACATACAAGGACCATTCAAGTCAGTGGAAATCTTCCACGTCTCGAATTGTTTTCTGATCCAAACTTCCATCCTGGCTTTGGCTGGGATAGAGTTCATTTTTCTTCCTAGTAGCTGGTACAGTGCTTGGTTTTGGGTTTGGTATGAGAATAGTGCTGATAACACACTGATGTTTCGGTTGTTGCTGGGCAGTGCTTACACTGAGCCAAGGACTTTCAGTGTCTCATGCTCTGACAGTGAGGAGGGGCACAAGAAGCTGGGGAGGAGCAGAGTCAGGACAGCTGACCCAAACTGGCCAAAGGGATATTCCACACCACAGAACATCATGGCCAGTATATAAACTGGGGGGATTGGCCAGGAGGGGGTGACTGCAGCTCAGAGATGGGCTTGGCACTGATCAGCAGGTGGTGAGCAATTGTGTTGTGCATCCCTTGTTTCTCTTGGGTTTTATTGTGCATGCGCTCTCTCTTATTACTGTTAACAAATTTTATATATTATATATAAATTAGCTTTAAT